ATATATATGTAAATTTCTACAGATTCTAACTTCATTTTCAAAGTGCAAGTAAAAGGGAAATACATTTTTTGGGATGGGACGAACGGGGGTTGTCACCTTGACATGACATCACAGTGTGCAAATTCGGTAAAACATATTAGCAGATTTTATGCTTTTCCTTTCTAGTTTATATTCAAATGATATAAGAGGAACTCCCCTAGTTACAATTTTTTTTTTTCCCCCACACCAAAAAAAAAAAGCTTCTTTTTTTTCCTTCGTAACCCAGTTGCTGGGTAGCTCTGGACTTTGAGCAGATTGGGTTAATTTTACCCAAAGTTGGGTTAATTATTTTGACCCATCAGATTGGGTTGGATTTGGGCGCGGTGCAGAGCTCAAGCTGATTGCCATTTCCGAAAGGCTGACCTTTTCCAGAAAAAAAACAAAAACAAATAAAAAAATAAAATAAAATAAAAAATGGACGTATTTACCTGCTCCTGGCCTCTAACTGGATAAAATCGCCCGATGTCAATAACTCAGAGCGCTTCCTGTTGCTTTGCCTTGCTAATACATCTCTTGTGAACGCATGTTTTTTTTTTTCCTTTTTATCTCAGAGGAAATAAATATCGCTTTCATTGTTCCTCGTTTCCGCTCCTATGACTGTCCCACAGCGGCAGGCGGCGGCGGGTTGACCACGGCGGCACCCATGCGCAACAGTTCCTTCCTGTGCGTGAGGATGATATCAAAGCTGGACTGCAGGCGGTTCTGTTGCTCCTCCACGCGTCCTTGCAGGGTGCGGAGCCAACGGATCAGAGCCAGGCGCCGGTACATGGTCAGCTGCACCTGATGCTTCTCCATCTCCTGAGCCTTGAACCTCTCGCGGTCCCGCAGAGTCCACACGGCATCCATCATTTCGGGAAGCTCGCCATCAGAATCCGATGACTGGTCATGCCTCTCCTCCGCTCCTTCCTCCAGGAGGTCTTCCATGTGACTTCCCGATATGGAATTGCGGCTGAAGCTTCTCCGTTTTCCCGATGACTCTTTACTTCTGGTCGGCTCGCTGTCGTGGCGGCTCAGCTTCTGTTCCCCAAACGCCATCCGTTCCAAGCCTCCGGTCGACAACCAGTTGCCTCCCCTCTCCAATCGGATGGAGGACATGCTCCCGCCAGAGTCCGAGTCCGAGCCGCTGTCCCCCCACTCGTCGTCATTTTCAAGCTTCATCATCTCCTCCAGGTCATCCCTGCCTCGGTTGCTGCTTTTCCTCCTCTGGAACTCCATCTTCTCCCTGTGCTTGGTCATCATCTGTCCCTCCTCTTCCTCCATCCTCCTTTCCTCAGCTCCATCGGGAGGCACTCGGCCATAGCTGTCATCAGAGTATTCGATTTCGGGAAGGGGTTCCAGCGTGCTCCAGCAGGGCATGCGGGAGCGAGGTGATAGGATCCCGGAGTTGCTGGGGGAGGATTTCAGGTCGGGGGTCAGAGGGCCCAGTTTACTAGGGCGATGCGGGTTTTGATTTTCATCGCCTCTTCCTCTTCCATTGCCTGTCAGGAAGTTATGGTTGCCATCTTGATCATATTTCCTGCTTGACACTGAGGAAGAGGAGCGATTTGTGTTTTGACCTCCGTAGGCCAGAGGCTGATCCTGATGAAGCATTCCCGGTCTGGATTGATTCTCACTGTAATGACACAGGATAATTGAAATCAATTGACATTCACTTTATTGTGCTGCAGTGTTTTCCAGCTTTTTGGATTATACATCGGAAAAGAGTGTCAGGCAAACCAACATAAATAAACACGTCACCCAAAGTGGATACACATTAGAATATTAACATCAAAATGCTCACAAAGAAAATAATATATCAACCATCATGTAGTATCTGCAATCAACCAAAAACAGAATCCAATGAGTTTGATGAAAAGACCCCCTAAAACTCTCTCACCTCTAAATCACCCTTTGCGGGTCACCCCCGATATAGTTTTTATGTTTATAACTACAGGCGGCTGCGCTGCACTCCAATTCTATTAGCATCACACATTAACATGTCACCCCGGAATGGAAATTTCTGTAATCCTGACTTGTTCTCGTCTGCGTACTAGGGCTAG